TGATACATTAATGTCTTTCTTGAGACATCTTGCACAGTGAAATAGTCTTGAGAAATAAAACTTCCAGAAAGTGGAATCTGCCCAGTGAGACCTAAATGCTAACTAATCTTGAAAAATGAAAGTAAAACCTTCTCACCAACTTCTACCCAGGGACCAAAATATTATGTTCTGTGTCAGGCTAGATGTTAATTGTAAAAGAGTTACCGTACTACCATCACCTAGGAGCAGACGTTTCTTTTTATTTTTCATACTATCCAATTCTAATTCTTTTAGCAATAACTTTTCATTTTATTTACAAATTAATTTATTTTTTAAATGAGGAGATTTTTGCTGCTGTCTGACTTTTTTTTTTTTAAATATAGAAGAAGGGAGAAAGGAACAGATTCCCATCTCTCTCACAAATAAATTCAAAGTAACTTAACTGAAGCTAATGGAGCTGCTTCAAAATTATACTGTTCTGCTGAGAGCAGAATTTCGCTTCTAGACTTCCATTGCATTGTGCCTTGACTATCCAACTGTACATTAGTGAAATTCCATGTTCTTACAATATCTTAAATTGGGACATAATTAACACTGCAAAAATTCACCTCAAAGAAATAAACATTCATTTTGGGAATGAGGAGATTAAATTACAAATAAAAACATTTAAATTTAAATGGTGCATATATAATCATGTAAACAACATCTGAAAGTCATTCAAGTTTATTTCTATATGTAAGTCAAATCAAAACAACATTAACTTAGTTTTAATAGTTGAAATTTCACTAAAATAATAACTCTTCAAACAATGTCTGCTGGCAAACCAATACATAACTGGCTGAGAGTAATGTCAAATATACCTTTGTCATTTATTATTATCATCTGTTAATCCCAGGTTAGGCCCATTTACTCTGAGGATTTGGGGAAATCTTCCACTATTGCTGAAGTACTGGCCTCGTACAATCGGTACTAGCAAAATTAAGAGTATTCAGTTAGGGCTTGTCTACACTACAGAAAAGATTGAAGCTGCCCTACTCAATCTTCCAGGGCTTGAATTAGTGGGTCTAGTGAAGACATGCCAATTCAAACTGTGTGGGTGCTCCTACTGGTGCTTGTAGTCCTCTCTTCATGAGGAGAAAGGGAAGTTGACGGGAGCAAGTGTTCCCATGGACCTCCTGCTGTGTGGACAGCACCAAAACATGATTGAAGATACTTTGTGTCATATCTCAAATTGTGTATCTTAAGTTGACTTTCTCCTTTAGGGTACATCTACACAGCAGCATTATTTCAGCTGTTATTCCGAAAAAACAATGCGATCGTCTACACCGCCATTCCATTATTTTGAAATAAATTCAAAATAATGGACAGTTTATGTCAACTTCTGTAAATCTTATTCCACGAGGAATAATGCCTATTCCAAAATAGCTATTTCAGAATAGCAATAATGTGGATGCCACACTGCTGCTATTTCGAAATAGGTTCTCCCCAAGGCATTCAGAGTAATTACTCCCCAGTGCATCCTGGGACTCCATATCAAGTTGACATGTCCACATTAGGGAAGCTTGCCTTGGATTAATTTTGAGTTTTCCCTTAGTGTAGATGTTTTATTTCAAAATAAGCTATTTTCGAATATTTCTTCTGAAATAGCTTATTTCAAAATAAGCATGCAATGTAGATGTACCCCTAGTGTAGACCAGGCCTAAGAGGCACTGCTAATGGCTTTACAGCCATTGTATCCGGAACTGCTCTGAGCAGAATTAGAAAATACTGAATAGTAAAACATCAAAGTCTAGTCTAGTGCTAGCACTTCTACCATTGGAGCTCCCATTCTGTGTGGATATGCAATGCAGTTTACATTGATTTCAAGGGGAATTTTCTTTGAGTGAGGAGTGCAAAATCTCAGCTTTAATTTTGCTTGGTCGAATTGTGTTCTAAAATATGTTAGAAATCTAATAAATTTATATAGAGAAAATTATGAGGGGTAAACAGAGGAATAAAGGTGTCATGATCAAATATTCTAAATTCTGGCCTGTATACAACCTACTCATGTTAGATTTTTAGTATGCTCTCTGGTTCAAGACAAATCATTCCAAACAAGGAAGAGTGAAGATATATATCCCTGTCCATCCCTGTCTTCAAAGCTCTCTCAAAACCATTAAGAATCTAAAACACTTCTACTTTAGTTCAAGTAATGTCACAAATAATAGTTTTATTGGCTTTGTGCATGTCAGTAAAACATTCAGTAAAATTACTCCACCTAGCAGTCTAAAAGCTGGTCTTTAAAACATTATGCATTCTCAAGGCATCCACTGTAACAGAAATTAGAGCATCATTTTTACTTTAACTGTCCCATCATTATGAATTCATCTGACAGTGAAAGAGCTCTTTGCAGAATAGCATTTGCTATTCTTATGGATGCCCGTCTTTCCATGTATGTTTCATTTTCATGTATGTTTCATTTAGTTAACTATTAGTTAATGAATGTATCAAATAAAATGAGCTGGAGATTAGTACTCATGTGCCAATACTGTCAGAGCCATCAGCCCTATAAAGTAGGGGTAGCACTAAACATGCAGGTTTTTATTAATGTGGTTTAATCCATTATTGATTCTTCTTCTTTTGTTTCTTTCATTTTTTCGTTGTTTCTTTTTTTTCCTTTAAAATCCACATTTAGTTTGTTACCTAGATCAAGAAAGAAAACTGGGAGAAAATGTATTCTATTGTCATATAACACAGTAGCATAATAAAGAAAAGCAAGAAAGAGTTTGAATGGTTGGCGTTAAATAGTGCATGTACATTTTTAAATGTAAATTTAGTTTATATTTAGGCCAGGTTTTAAATAATCCATGAATTTTTGTACCCATAAGAAATATTGGAAGTTATGGTTTTGATTCATAATTAATAATGTTAACCACATATTATAATGCTTAGCCCAGAAATCTCTTGTTTAGTTTAGCATTTAGTGCCTTCTTGCTAAGTGAGATGCTAAAGATTTGCATCATTACAATTGCAAACTCTCAGAAGATTAGTAATAGAGAGGTAGCCATGTTAGTCTGATCTTGCTAAAACAAAAGGAAAAACTATCTAGCACTTTAAAGACTAACAAGATGGTTTAATAGAGAGATTTCAGGAGACCATCCAGTCCAATCTCCTGATCAAAGCAGGACTAACTCCAACAAAATCATTCCAGCCAAGGCTTTGTCACTAACTTGTGAAAAGCTATTAATTTGAAAGTTGTTATTGATAAATATCAGTTCCCCAGCTGGTAATATAGTGCAGGGATAAAATATTGTATACTGACTTTGATGTTATTTCCAGGTGTGATTTAAAGAGGTGGTGATCCTTCACTGTACCTTTAACATCCATAGAACGTAGGTAAATATATCTTTTGGTTTTGATTTGAATCAGACTTTGTGTGAGCTTATTTTGAGTCAATTTCAAAATAGTTTATTTTGAAATTTGGCACTTTCTACACAGCAATTATTTCTAAATGAATCACTATTCTGAAACATCCCTTACTCCTCATGGAATGAGGGACATCGGAATAGCAAGCCTGTTATATTTTGACATAACAGATGTGCTCAAAAGACATGGAATAGCTATTTCCAGATAACTCCAGTATCCCAAAATAGCACTGCAGTGTAGATGTAGCCTAGAAGTCCCAGTACTTCCATAATACTTCCTCAGCCTCCTGTTCCTCATAAAAGTACTGACCCGCTTGAAAAAGAGAAAAACACATTCCCACCTCCCCATCTCTGGTCAGGATGAGATTCTAAAGCTAAGAGGAAGAGCAAAATTAATATTATACTTTGCAAGAAAAATCTTGCGGAAACTTTCATTTGCACTTGTTTGCAATGTGGTTCAAAGATCTGAGCCAAAGCCTTAAGAAAGTTATAAAACTATGTTTTTCCGTTCACACTGGCAAAAAAAACCCCATCTGTATTATTTATAACACATGCTCTTCTAGCAGAGGTAGAAAAATATGTGGTTTTGCACATATTCTTTCAGTGTAGGTGGAACCTACGTACCTTAATTTTAAAATATTAAGCATGTTGTCATTGTTGAATAAAAAAAGAGCTTTCACAAATGATAATAGTTAATAGTTCTTGTCTGGAGGAAGAGAGATGAGAAATTACAAAGCATTTTATCTTTATGCAACCCACTATGGTAAGCTGCCTCTCTTCCTTGATCAGGTTGATACAAAACAATGTCTCATCATTCTCTGAAATCACAGTTTGTATATGGAGATGAGTTGGCAGCACTGGAAGGGAATTCTTTTCAGATTTAGTCTTTATGGGAAATTACTGTGCATTTGTCTACACTGTGAGCATTACAGTGGAAGCATTGTAGTGTAGATGCTTTTCCTACAGTGACAGAAGGTGGTTTGCTATCACTAGGTAATCCATGTCCCTGACAGTGGTACCTAGGGTGATGGAAGCATTCTTCTGTCAACTTGGCTTTGTCTATGCTAAGAGCAAAGTCAGCATAGCTACTGTGTTCAGGGAAGTGAATTTTTCACACTCCTGAATGACATAGATAATTTGATCTAAATTAAGTGTAACCCTGTGAAAATGTTGCACCCAGAAACTTAATTTTTTTAATGACTATTTTAGTTATCTAATTTTGAAGACAGACTTCTATTCTCACATGAAAAAAAAACTTTTTCTTGCCTAAAACAGAAATGTCAAAGAACTATCCTTCCATTCTGGATATAAAGGACTGTCTCCATACAAATCTTCAATGTATGGTTTGGGAATGAGATACTTAGAAGAACTATGTAATTGTAAAGGAAGTATAGTGTTGTGTTTAAGGTTCTAAGATTACTGGGGTTTAATTTCTAGGTTGGTTGTAGGTCTCCTGTGTGCCCACTCAGCCCCATATAGAAATTGTGACTTCAGAGAATGATGAGACATTGTTTTGTGACATCCTGATCAAGTAGACCGATAGCAAGCCTGGAAACTGAACCCAGGTCTCCTGCTCCTGTGTGCCCACTCAGCCCCATATACAAATTGTGACCTTGGAAAAATCTCTTAAGGCCTTTTTTCTCCTTTTACTCACATTGATGAAAATCGTGAATTACTTCACTGAAGGCAATGGAATGTCAATAGAGTAAAAGTCAAGTGAGTATCAGACCCATTATCTGTCACATGGAGATTATATTAAATGTATCCTACCTAGAAATATTCAAAACATTTCAAACATTTTTATCAAAAAATGTTTTGTCACAAACATCCAAATATTCATGCACAATTATCCATTTTAGAATTTTTCACAACATATTTTGTTTAAAAATTATTGTTTTAATTTCCTTTTGCTTGTTTTTCTTTTTTTAAGTCATTTTGAAATAAATAATGACTTGGGAGGAAGGAAAAAGGAAACAATACAAATTTTGGAAATAAAAGCAAAGAAATTTTAAATCCCAATAAACAAAAATAACATTGAAATTTTTCTCAGTTTTTATTTTTCATTTTTGTGACCATCCTTTTCCTTCATTAGTCTCGCTCCCATCGTTTTCATTGGCTAGTCTTCACTACAAAGGCTTTGCTTGGATAGCAATTTTGGCTTAACTATATTGAAAAGTTCTTGAGTGGAGATGCTGCTTATAATGCAAACAGTTATTTTGCTGGCACAATTAAGCCACTTTCTCTAGCAGCATAAATTATTCCAACAAAAGGACACACTGCTAGCTAATATAGTCATGGTGGCAAAACTTTGTAGTGTAAACATGGCCAGTCTTTCTTGTCTGTTTAGGCTCTGGTCCAGCAAAGACTTATTCCAGACCCAGATCTATGCTAAAAACTTTCATTGCCATAGCTATGTTGGTCGGGGATTGAAGAAAATGTGATTGCTGACTGACATAGCTGCACTAGCAAAAGCAACTTCAGTTATACAGTAAAACCATGCTTTTGCCAGTATAGCTTATTTTGAGTGGGGAGTGGAGTGATAGCTTTGCCAGTACAAGCTATGTCCACATAAGAACATTAGTGAGTATAGTGTACTGCTATATCTATACTAGCAAAGTCTTCCAAGTGTAGACCTGGATTACACATGCTTAACTTTCAAGTATCAAAGGGGTAGCCATGTTAGTCTAAGTCTGCGAATGCGGTGAGGAGTCCTGTGGCACCTTATAGACCAACACTTCTGTTAGTCTATAAGTTGCCACAGGACTCCTCGCCGCTTATACTTAACTTTATATGCTGTGAATAATCTTGTATAATCAAGGGGACAAGTCCCAGAATGTAAAGTTAAGGACATGTGTGAGGACTCAGTTATATGTAAAAGTTACATACTTAAACTGTACCAGCATAATTTATGCCATACAAGTCTGCAGTATGGATGCACTTGTATCAATATAAAAATGCTTCCCAGTACAGTATAAACTCATTCTTTTAAGGCAGTGCTTCTCGTAGTGGTCCATGGACCTACTCTGAGAAACCTGCTAACTGGACACTCTGGTTTGTTTATTTACTGGCTCTGCAGCCAAGGGGAGCCACGGGAAGTAACGGCCCAGACCATGCCACTTCACAATGGGAACCACGAGGCTCTGTGGATGAGTAGCTAGTAAATAAACAAACCAGAGTGGTCAGTTAGCAGGTTTCTCAGAGTGGCTCATGGACCATTTTGAGAAACACTGCTTTAAGGCAAGGGAAATAACAATACTGATATAAATAACCTTGGGTATGTCTACACTACAAAGTTAGTTCGAACTAACAGACATTAGTTCGAACTAACTTTCATAGGCACTACACTAGCTCTCCGTTAGTTCGAATTTAATTCGAACTAACGGAGCGCTTAGTTCGAACTAGGTAATCCTCATTCCACGAGGATTAAGCCTAGTTCGAATTTACTAGTTCGAATTAAGGGCTGTGTAGCCCCTTAATTCGAACTAGTGGGAGGCTAGCCCTCCCCAGGTTTCCCTGGTGGCCACTCTGGCCAACACCAGGGAAAGTCGTCTGCCCCCCTCCCGGCCCCGGCCCCCTTAAAGGGGCACGGGATGGCTACGATGCCCGTGCCAGGTGCAAGCCTGCCAGCACCCAGCCAGCAGACCCTACTCCTGGCACGGATCGAGCCACCCACCCGATGCCCCCCAGCCCTCCCCCTCGTCCCAGGACCAGGCTGGCAGCTCCCGGGAGCTTGCCCGGGACCACAAGAGGCGGGCACCCGCCTGGGCTAGTGCGGACATAGTGGACCTCGTCCACGATCTCCGCACTAGGCACAGGAAAGTGGCCAGCTTGGGCAGGAGAGCTGCCAGCCTGGCCACCCAAGAGCAGGTGTGCATGAAAATCAAGGGGGTCCACTGACACCCCCGACCCTGAGCCCTGAGCCCTGAGCTTACAATGGCCGTCCTGGGTCAGACCAAAGGTCCATCTAGCTCAGTAGCCTGTCTGCCGACAGCAGCCAACCCTAGGAACCCTGGAGGGGATGGACCGAAGACAGTGACCAAGCCATTTGTCTCGTGCCATCCTCTCCAGCCTTCCACAAACTTTGGGCAGGGACACCACTCCTACCCCCTGGCTAATACCACTCCATGGACCCAACCTCCATGACTTGATCTCACTTCACTTTAAACTCTGTTCTAGTTCTAGCCTTCACAGCCTCCTGCAGCAAGGAGTTCCATAGGTTGACTCTGCTTTGTGAAGAACAACTTTCTGTTACTAGTTTGAAGCCTGCTACCCATTCCTTTCCTTTGGTGTCCTCTAGTCCTTCTATTATGGGAACTAATGGAGAACTTTTCTTTATGCACCCTCTCCACCCAACTCCTGCTTTTATAGACCTCTATCATATCCCCCCTCCGTCTCCTCTTTTCTAAGCTGAAAAGTCCCAGTCTCTTTAGCCTCTCTTCATATGGGACCTGTTCCCAACCCCTGATCATTTTAGTTGCCCCCCCCATTCCAGCCTCTCTCTTCCCCTCTCCCACCTCCTTTTCCCAGTCTCCCCCAGTTTTGTTCAATAAAGACAGATTCCATTTTTTAACACAATTGTCCTTTATTTTGTACATCAAGAAGAGGGGCTAGGGAAGGGTAAGTGGAAGGAAGTGAGGGAGGAATGGGGCACGAGCCCCCGATGGGGAGGACTGGGCTGGCTCTGCGGGCTTTTGGGGTGGAAGCTCTCCTGCAGCCCCCCCGATTGCCCCCTCTCCCCAGATGGCAGCCTGCGGCAAGTGCAGCCGGTCTGATGGCCGAGTGGTGTGATGTGCCCAATGTGGGCACTCAGGGCACTCCAAGCCAGGACTGCTTGGCAAGCGGGGCACCCCTGAGAACTGTCTGTCCGGGGTGGGGGTCGGGACCCTTTAAGCGCGGCCCTCGGCTAGCCTGAGACAGCATCTCCACGCTCTAAGTCCTCCTCTGATGCCCTGCCGGGACTGCTTCCGGCCATCCTTAAGCCCTGTTCAGGGCCCACTTAATGTGGACATGCTAGTTCGAATTAGCAAAACGCTAATTCAAACTAGTTTTTTAGTCTAGATCCGTTAGTTCGAATTAACATTGTAGTGTAGACGTACCCTTTAATACCAGTATAACGATCCACAGTAAGGCTTTTTCTGATATAACAATTTTGGTAAAAGAAGTCACACTCCTAGCCAAAATAGTTAAAGTAGTAACGTTTTAAAGAGTAGACATTGGCTAAGTACTCATAGGATTGGGATCTTCCATTGTAAATCCAAATTTGTCACAGTTTACGACAACTGCATTTATATCTTCCCTCGGTGGTTCAGAAAAGGCACCTACTCTCACGCCAGGTCTACACTAGGGGAGAAGTTTGAATTAAGATACGCAACTCCAGCTACTTTAATTGCGTAGGTGGAGTTGATATAACTTGAGTCAAACTTTGGCACCATCACTTATTAAACCATCTTGGTAGTCTTTAAAGTGCTACATAATTTTTCCTTTTGTTTTAGCACTAAAGGGTATACCCTCAGCAGTCGATTTAGCTGGTCCATACTAGCCCCACCACTAAATTGAATGCCAGAAGATCTGGAGCATCAATCTTCTAGTAAGTATATTTGTGGACTCAGGCTTCCAACTTGGTAACTATTGCCACTTTTGGGTGAAAACATGGGTCTCTATCTTTTCACCAGGTATTTTCAGCCTAGGAAATCTACTTCACACTTATTGTTGCAATAAGGCCTTTGAACTTCTTCATACCTTCCAGAGATTAAATTAATTTTGTCTTCTGCTTCCATAAAGCCTCACAATAGTTCATAAACATTTGCTTTTCCAATAGAATGTACCTATAAGTTATTAACTATTATTCATTAAGATTTAATTGAATTCAAAAAGGTTTGTTCAGGATATTACCGATACTGTCACTGTTACAACCATTACTAAGGCTATGTCTACACAACAGAGGGATCACAGTACATCACGAGTGCAGGTTCAGTGTCCCATAATGCAGTGTCTTCTGTCCCGTTACTCCATGGACTTCATTTCACATTATTTCTTAATGGCCCCAGTTTACTATGTACCTACCATCTGTGCCTCAAAGAATGGATCCTGCACTGCTCTGTTCTAGTGTGCTCAGAGCTATAAACATGATGCAACGGAGCATGCAGTATATGATGAGCTCTGAATCTAAACAGGAATCGATAGTGCCTAACCTGTTGTGTTCCATGGAAAGAAACAAAGCCTGATACTTGGGCTATTTATGGAGCAGTAACACATGGTAGACTAATGAGCTTGGGAAACTACCACTCAGTGGTGAGATCCCATCATTATATAGGTCTGAGATGATAAGCAATGGCTGCAGAACTTCTTGATATGCAAAGTCACCTTATTGGAACTATACCCTAGCACTGCAGTGCAAGGTTACTGAAATGAGAGTTGCCCTCTGAGTGAAGAAGTACATGGCAATTGCTGTGTGGAAGCTGCCATCTCCAAACTACTACAGTGAGTTGTGAGAATAAGTTTGGAATTGGGTAGTCCACAGTACAGGTTATGTTCACACAATTGTGCAGGGCTATTAATTGCATCCTACTACAAAGGACAGTGGCTCTTGGAAATGTGCATTAAATTGGACTGCCTAACTACAACAGGGCAAGAACTGGCGCACATATCACAATTTTGGCCCCAGACCATCTTGTGATGGAGTACATCAATAGAATATGGTGCTTCTCTTTGGTGTTGCAAGCTCTGGTAGATCACTAGGGTCATTTCACTTATATCAGTGTGCAGGCCATCTTAGAAGATGCATGATGCACGGGTAGTACTATCAAAGTTACTACAGTTGGAGAAAAGTAGGAACAGCACCGTCTCCTCTCTTCATTAGGCCCAGTAGAACTAATAACAGTTGTTTCCCTCTAACAGGAGAGAATGTGTTATGTGGAGACATCATGATCAGCTGGGAAGATAAGATGTGAGCGCTCCACACTGGGCAAACAGGAAGTGAAATTTTAGAAAGTCCTGGTCCTTTAGGGAAAAGGACAGTTGCCTGTGTGCTTGGATGCAAGTCAGCAGAGTTTGAGTAGCTGACCAGAGTGGTCAAGATGAGCATTGTGGACCACCTGGAGGCCATTTACAGCAGCATAATAAAATGCATGTCTATACTAACACTTTCTAGATCTAATTTTGCTACAAAAAGCTCTTATGTCTCATGGCAAGATGGTTTCATTTTGTTGAAAAAACAGGAGAGTTTTACATCAGGAACACTGTAGTGTGAACACCTCCAGTGTTTTGTCAATGAAAACTAACTTTTGTCATCAAAAACTCTGTATTGTAAAAAGACCTTGCTATGTGTCTGTACAGTGCCTTGCAGAAGAGGGTCCTGAACTTTATTGGAGTCTCAAGCATTATAGTTAATACCAATAAAATATTATAGTTTTATTGTTGGTAGCCATACTAATTATTTCATAGTTTAACAATGAAATGCACAACTTGATGTTAGCCCACACCACATTTTTAACACCACATTTTTTGTGTCTGTTCTTTCTTCTTTTCCTTACAGACATTACATTTAGCATACCATTAGCTATTCAAAATAGATTTTTTTCCAAATGCTCAGAAGTGAGTAAGATGCGTAAATGTGCTATTGCTAGTTTGGTACATTTTCCTTCCATTATTCGACATTATGTGGATGTATAAGCCATTCCTGGGTTTCAGGAGATTTAGAGGTTATCATTTTTTTCTTTGATGTGATCCCTAGTGGGCCAATGTTGAGTTAGTTTTTCCTTTTTTAACATATCATTATTGCTCAATAACAAAGAAAAGTAAGCATGAGACACAGACGCAACTATTTATATATATTCATTATAATGTAATATTCGGTACAGGCAGTCCCCGAGTTACGCGGATCCGACTTACGTCGGATCCGCACTTACGAACGGGGCTTTCTCGCCCTGGAGCTCGCAGGCAGCGGGACCCCCCAGAGCGCAGCAGTCCCGCCACCTCGACCTCCGGGGCGAGAAAAGCTGCTCTGGGTTCCCCTTGTCTGCTGGGGACCGTCTCCAGCAGACCAGGGAGACGTGGAGCAAAGCCCGTGGTAGAGCAGGTGGGGCGCTGCCGGTTGGTCCCGCAGCACCGCTCCTTGGCGCTACTGGACCAACCCAGCAGCACCCCAGCTGCTCT